AAAAAAAAAAAAAAAATCTGTGTTAACACATTATTGAAAGGATAAAACCTTGTAAGATAAATTTTAAGTGGCACTGCTCTTCTTTTTAATAGAAAAGAAGTGATTCAGGGAACTGGACGTATGGCTCAAGTGGTAGGGTACCAAGAAAGTTGATAAGCACAAAACCCTGAGTTCAAGCCCCTGTACCCAGAATAAGAGGGGGAAAAAAGTGATCCAGATAGTTGCACTCTGGCCAATTATATTATCTCAAAACACCCAATGTATAGAACAGTAGTGCATCATTACTTTAATTTGAAATATATACTATTTTTATAAAATGTATAGCCATATTTAATGTATTAACAGTGTCATAGGTTAACTACTCATATGATATGCAACATTTTCATTGCCCTTCAAAAGTTCAACTATCAATAATAATAATGTAAGTGTCTAAATACTTACAAATGTGATTCTCCTTTTAACTTAGGGGAAAGTATACCACTCTGAGTGACTTCTACTTTCATGTGTGTGTGCCAGTCGAGAGGCTTGAACTTAGGGCCTAGGCTCTGTCCCTGAGCTTTGTTCCTCAGGTTTGCTTTGTTGCTCAAGTGGAGCTATGGCTCTACTTCCAGTTTCTTTTGTAATTGGAGGTAAATCTCACAGACTTTCCTGCCCTGTCTGGCTTTGAAATGTGATCCTTAGATCTCAGCCTCCTGAGTAGTTTAGGATTACAGATGTAAGCCATTGTGCCCAGATGATGACTTTTAATTTTAGTTCTGATCATTACCAGCCATAAAATATGGTAGTTCCAAAATTACCAATAAGGTATAAATACAGTCACTTAAATTGACTTCAGATAGTACAGATCCCCAATTAGTTTAATTGCTATTCAGGCATAGCATGGCACTATACTTCTGTAATCCCTAAACTCAGAAGTGCTTATTCTCCTCCTTCAGCAGGAAAATAAGGAGTTCCAAGTCAATTCTGGATTTATAGCAAGATCCTAACTCAAAAGACAAAAATTAAGCCAGGCACCGTTGGCTCACACCTGTAATCCTAGCTACTCAGGAGGCTGAGATCTGAAGATCTCTGTTCAAAGCCAGCCCGGGCAGGAAACTCTGTGAGACTCCTATCCCCAATAAACCACTAGAAAACCGGAAGTGGTGCTGTGACTCAAGCAGTAGAGCACTCGCCTTGAGCTGAAGAGCACAGGGACAGCGCTCAAGCCAAGTTCAAGCCCCACGACCGACCAAAAACAAAATTTTTTTTTTGGTCCGGTCGTGGGGCCTGTACTCTGGGCCTGGGCACTGTGCCTCAGCTCTTCAGCTCAAGGCCAGTGCTCCACCACCCAGTGCCACTTCCAGCTTTTTTTTTTTTTTTTGCTTATGTGGTGCTGAGGAATCGAACCCAGGGCCTCAGGCATGCAAGGCAAGCGCTCTACCACTGAG